ATGGTGAGTTTACTGTGTTAATTTGGAACTTTTTTTTTTATTGAGCATTGTTGCTAACCAAAACTTGATCAATTTTATTTGATTAGAAGTTTTGGACGATTTGCCAAGTGGCTAGAATTGTGACATTTTTTTTTCAAGTTGATGGTTTACCTGTTTTATTTTATTTTCTGACTATACAAAATAATTTAAGAGAGTAATAATAAGTAATAAAACTTCAAAACAAAGCAAATGTATCATGAAATGACTACGAGACGGTGGTAATTAATTTTTAGACGAGCATCAGTTGATCTAAAACCCATAAAGTTTAGTTTCTCAAGGGTGAACTATAATTTAAACTGAGGAAGACTGTAAAACTGTGATTCAATATGAACTTAAAAATTTATTATAAATAACAAAAACTAGTTTGAGTTACCGACTCCGCTGGGGATCGAACCCAGAATCTCTGGTTCCGTAGACCAGCGCCTTATCCATTGGGCCACGGAGTCATATGTTTAACAAACTAGCAATGCTTTTAACTCTTAAAAAACCAAATATAAAAAATGTAACTGCATTAGAGGCTTAGAGGCCATTTTGGAGACTCCAACTGAAGAGAGCAACACATGGTAGATCAATAATTAGACATGGCAACAATTGATTGTCATTGAAATGGAAATGTATTTCATTAACACCAATTTACCCAACACATTTAGAATTTTAGATGAAAAGGGATTGCGCAGCTGTTTTCGATGGGTTTATTGACATTTCATGATAAATTAATGGGTTCGATCTTACGATATATTTGTATTTAACTGTATTGATATGTGGTGTTTCATAATTTAATGTGTTAATTTGTACTATTTCATAATCTATGTGTCGATTTGTGGTGTTTCATAATTCCATGAGTCAATTTTTTTAAATTCACCGCAATCCATATAGATGTGGAATTAAATCCATGCATGTTAAGACTTTTCAAATATAGAAATATGTACTCGGCGAACTTAAATTAAAAATATGTTTTAAAAATTAAATAACTTTCATATTTCTTATCAAATTAAAGCATGCATATATAAACATGATGTTTTGATCGACCAACATTTAGTTTGAGCTATTTCATATGCCTCTCTGCTTTGATTATGAATGAATATCTAATATATTTCTAACGAGTAACGACTGTCAAGTACATCTATCCGTAAACAGAGTGATATACTAAAGAACCAATAAAAGAAATTAATAAAAATTTGTACACTTTTTCCAGTCCAAAAATTCTGAAAGCTCTTAAGGTAGTGGCACCATTCCTACTAGTCTACTACTTCTTGCAGAGTTGCAGATATTAGGTTATATGTATACTCATTCACATTCACTATCATCTAAATAATAGAACAAGAATTTCCACAGAGAAAAAATGGGGGAGCAAAAAAAAAAAAAGAAAATCAGTTTGAAGATGTCTTATCCTTCTTCCCAGCCAAGATCATGGAAATCTGGAGGCCTCGACTGAACGCTTGGTTAAACAGCAGCCGTGTTTGGAATTCGGATACAAATGGGAACCAAGATAATAAAACAACAGGTGTGAATATAACAAGCCCCATTATAGCTTCATATGCTCTCGACAACTCCCTTACTGAATCCCAGATTCTGATACCCTTCAGACAAGGTCTGCACGCTTGAGCAATCTGCACCATATTTTGATTGGAATTTTAATTGGTGCATTACATATTTTGAATACCTTTATAGTTATATATGTATATATGCTCACCAGAATAAGGGCCCAGCCAGTGGGCATGAAAGCCAGAATAGCAGCAAATAAATCGCTGACGGCAAGGTTGAAGACCACAAATAGTACAGTCATGACAGACACGAACCCAAGGAATAGAAGTGCTTTCAAAATCCTAAACATAAGCTGAAAATCGGTGCCGAATTTTCTTCTCCCCATTGACACCATCTTTATGTTCATAAAGATGAACGCACTCATGTTAGTTCGTAGTGTAATATCAAATAAATGAGAATCTAAAGGCTTTGACTTGACAAAAGTTCTATCGAGTAATAGCAACTTCTCCAGTTCAGGTTCAAGCAAAATAACATGATTTTAAGACAGAGAGGGAGAGGGAGAGAGAGAGAGAGAGAGAGAGAGAGAGAGAGAGAGAGAGA